TTCCTCTTTCACCCTCATTAAGAGGTTCTTTAAGTCCTCCTCACTTTCTGCCCTCAGAGGTGTTCCTGGTCAGTCACATGGCAAATCAGGGGATAGGGATTCAGCCTGTACTGGATAGGGTTACACTCCCTCTATCCAGTACAGGCTTTGGTGAAAAGTCAGATTCGCAGCTTTGGTGGGCTCCTGGACCCAACCCTGAGCTTAGATGCTCAGGTCTCAGCAGTTGCCAAGAGTGCATTTGCACAGTTAAAGCTAGTGCGCCACTTGTACCCACTCCTTGAGATGTCCAATCTGGCCAAGGCGACACATACCTTAGTTACATTCCATTTGGATTCCTGCAAAACATTTTAAATGGGGCTGCCTTTGAAGAGTGTTCAGAAACTTCAGATAATTCAAAATGCTACAGCAGAGTGTTGACTGGCTCTGGTTATAGGATATATGTAACTCCCTTTTTACAAACAGCTTCACTGGCTGCCAGTCTGTTTCGGGCTCAATGCAAAGTGCTGGTCATTACTTGTAAAGTAATTTGGCTAATTTGGATCATATCACCTCATATGAGCCTTCTCAACTTTCAAGATCTTTTGGAGAGGCCCTTCTTTCAGTTCCACCACCTTCCTAAGCTTGTTTAGTGACAGAAGCGGTTCTCAGTGGCTGCTTCCAGGCTTTGGTATGCACTTCCCCAAGAGGCCAGAGCGCCTCCCCCCTTCTCTTGTTTTTTTGTCATCAGGCAAAGACCTTCCTCTTCAGGCAGGCTTTTAAGCAGTCAGTCACCTCACTGAGTTCTTAACTTACAGGTTTTAAACTGTTTTCAAATTGTTTTTAAACCTGATTTTAATCTTAATATATGTTTAATTGCTTTTTTAAATATGATACCTATATAGTCTTTTTAAATCTGTTGTTTTATCTGTTGTAAGATGGGTCCCTTGTGTGGGGGAGGGAAGAGAGCAAACAAACAAACAGATAAACAAATAAATTTGGGGGGAAGAGAGCAAACAAACAAACAAACAGATAAACAAATAAATTAAATGGTTTCATGTTTTGTCACAATCATTTTTTAAACATCTGGTACAAATAGGAACTTAATGTATTATTGAAAAGACTACCATGTTGGCAGCACTTTTACTTGCCCTTCCGGGGGCTGCTGCTGCTGTACAGAAGGTGATTTCTATTTTGTATAGGTGTGGTGTGTCTCCTGTAATGTAGGCCTTCTGTGATTATCTCAATGCAAGGCAGACTAATATGGGAAGAGGCACCATTTCAGATGTTCTGAACCAGCTTGAAAGTTCAGCAAAATACCTGGAATTTAGCTCAGATCACCTGTGCAGCACTTTCAAAACTGGTGTACCATCTAGATTCACCAGACAAAGTTCTTGCAGCTGATTTCTGTGCTAGACAATTTTTATGGTTACTCTTCAAGGACTCCCCTCCATGAAATACAGCACAGTAATCTAATTTGCAGAAGGCTGAAGCACGGATCATCAAAATGAAGCTGTCCCTATTCAGAAATTAACAAAAGGTGTTCCAAGCCACCAAGATAACTTGATGATAATGTTTAAACATACCCTACCTTAACATCTGCATTTTCAGGGTGTGTGAAATCTCATCCAAAATAGATGGCATGGTAACTTACTGGGAGCAGGAGTCCCCTAACCACAGTATTCCTGCCTTGTCAGGATGTGATTTGATTTGGATTCCTGCACTGGGCAGGGAGCTGAACTCGATCGCCTTGTAGGCCCCTCCCAACTCAATTATTCTATAATTCTATGATAATACATGAAGAAAACATGCAAATGAATGTCTTAATCTTCCCAGCCAACCACCACCCTTGAAACAAAGCTAGGCAAATAGTAAAAATGAGATGAGTGGATTAATCAAAGATCAACAGCTATTTTAAAATAATGGATACTTGTGTAATGCATGCTTAAGAAAAAAATGATATATGATACTCATTTATTGGAGCTCATCAACAAGAAGATGAGTTATGCTAAATCAAATTCCTCAGAAGTGCCATCATCATTACAGTCCTTTGACTGCAACGTGACACTGTTAAATGGAACATCAATGAAGAAAATACTAGATAGTTATGCAGAATGTTTTGCAACATAAAAGGGATCCGAACAGACCAGGAGGTCAAAAGCCTTACTTACAGGTAGTTTCCAGATTTTATGCAAAGTTAATCAGCTGCTCCATCTCCTGACACACAGTGGGATAACCACACAACCCAATTTTAAAGTTAGTTAATTAACTCTTATGAAATTTGGTCCTGTGAACAATATTTTTGCTTCTTCACAGACAAACATATTTGTCCAGGAGAACAAAACAGGCATCACCTAGGAAATATTTGTGACTTTAAAAGATTAGTAGAATGGGGAGTTCACTGACGATTCCCAATAGGGAAAGGGAAAGAAACCAAGAAACCTCCACACTTCGTCAGCAAGATGCCTTCCGACCTGAGGTTGGATGCCTTCCAACCTGAGGGGCCCATCGTTCAGCGTCATATCTTTTAGCCTTTTGTTTTTGGCAAAGATGGGGACGTGGTGGCGCTGCGGGGGACGTGGTGGCGCTGCGGGCTAAACCGCAGAAGCCTGTGCTGCAGGGTCAGAAGACCAAGCAGTCGTAAGATCAAATCCACACGACGGAGTGAGCTCCTGTCACTTGTCCCAGCTCCCGCCAACCTAGCAGTTCGAAAGCATGTAAATGCAAGTAGATAAATAGGGACCACCTCGGTGGGAAGGTAACAGCGTTCCGTGTCTAAGTCGCACTGGCCATGTGACCACGGAAGATTGTCTTCGGACAAAACGCTGGCTCTACGGCTTGGAAACGGGGGTGAGCACTGCCCCCTAGAGTCGAACACGACTGGACAGAAATTGTCAAGGGGAACCTTTACCTTTACTTTTGGCAAAGATACTGGAGTGGCTTGCCAATTCCTACTCCAGGTGGATTGGGTTTAGTCAGAACTCTCCACTATGATCTGTTAGTCTTCGGTGTCCCTGCATGGCATAGCCCATAGCTTCTCTGCATTACTCAAGCCCCTTTGCCCTGACAAGGCAGCAATCCATGAAGGGGTTCTATGTGTTAGGCAAAAGCATTTAACCCCTTTTGTAAAGCTTTACCGGAAAGAGAGACAGAACTCATTGGCTCTAAAGTAGGTCCTATTTCCAGGTGAGGTCTGCTTCATTTAAGACAAACATATTAACCCCATAATGACTGCAATATAGATCCTGACATATCCCAACACAAACCACAAAACTTCTGGAACAATGTATTTTAAACTGACAAGACCAAATGTTCGACCATAATGCACAGTGCCACATTTGGTGAAAACCAGACCCAGCATATCAGCACAAACACCTCATACCAACTGCCAAGCATGGTGGTGGAGGAGTGATTATCTGGGCTTGTTTTCCAGCCACAGGATCTGGGCACCTTGCAGTCTCGAGTCTACCATGAACTCCTCTGTTTACCAAAGAATTCTAGCATTAAATGAGAGGCCAATGGCTAAAGCTTAGCTGGAATTGGGTCTTCCAAAAGGATGATGACCCTAAGCATACAACAGAATGGCTGAAAAAGAAAAGAATTAAGGTCTTACAATGGCCAGTCAAAGTCCAGAACTCAACCCAACTGAAATGCTATGATAGGACCTTACAAGAGCCTCAAAACCTCAATGAACAGAAGCAATGTTGTAAAGAGGAGTGGGCCAAAATTCCTCCACAACAATGTGAAAGACTGATAAAGTCATACAGAAAATGATTACTTCAGGTTATTGCGCTACAAGCTATTCAATCATAAGGTGGACTTAGTTTTTCACACATGGCTTCTCCATTTCAGCTTTATTTTTGTTAAATAAATCATGACAAAGTGTAATTATGTCACATGTTGTTGTTCATCTGAGGTTGTATTTACCCAATTTTCAGACCTGCTAAGGACCAGATGATTTTTATTATGTTCTGATATGTAAAACCATAGAATTCAAAGAGGGTATACTTTCTTTTTTCGCATGATAGCACTTTGAAAATCATTACCAGAGGAGATTCACAATAAAAAAATGGAGCCCTTCCATCAATTACTCTTTCCCATAACGATTGTGACTAGAGAATGGTACTATGAAGCTTCAGGGCCTCCGTCAGAGTGATCTAACTGCCCACCTAACAATGGCATCTCTAAGCAGAGGGAGCTGTTGGCTTGATTTTTAATACACTGCATTACTCACCACTACAGATTATAATTTAGCTCAATGGACCAGCCAAAAGGCTCTATATGAATCCATAAAGTTATGATTCTTGGCTATCTCTTCATTCTATGCAGGTCATCACTGAGGCTCAAAGAGAGTGGCTTATGGTTTTAATCAACTGCTTGATTCCTTAAAAACACCACTTATTGACTGTCTCCTTCAGAATGTCAGTCCTGATAATCAGTAAAAGCGATAAACTACATTTCTAAAAAGCACACCTTCAAGAACCTTGGAACTAGCCTAAAATATGCTCCAAAACTGAAATTCCTATTTATTAGGAACCAATAACAAAGAACATAGGTCCTAAAAGCCTTTACATATTTATTGATGGTAGGTAACACAAAATTGAACTGCATTTTCTACTTGCTTCAAATAAAGGCTTCTATACTTACAGACAGAAGCCTTGAGGTTTATGCACTCTCTTTGCCCCTATTATATTTCTAGGTCTTCTTCAGAACAAAAAACTCCCAAGGCAGCTTATATGATATTTAAAAAACATTAAAACCAAAATCAATAAAAGCAATTAAGGCCAGTTCTGCATTGGTAAGAATCCTCTTTACCCTTAAGGAACTGTTAATTGTAAAGAATTTATGGCATGAGTGTTCCCCCTTTCTTTTTAGTCAAAACACAAATTTCTCCACAGAAGTCTACAGCATATTATTATCACGACTGCCTGATGCCTCCTTCCCATGGAAACCTGTGGAACTGAAGATTTTGTGTATTTTAAAAACTCTCAAGGAACGAATATTATTTATCATAATGTACTTACCCTACGAAAAGAGACCACATAGAATGTATCTCCTCTTCTGTGAATTGCTTCAAAGAAATCTTGATAATTCCGTGGCAAAGCATAATATATTTGTAGCTCGTTTCCTGAGTTCCTACTGAAAAACAAAGACATTGCCTCTGCTGAAGATACCAGCTTTATTAAATATCTAGGAGGTCACCAGCCTCAGCTGCATCCCATAAAACTGTGCCAGAACAGTATATTGCTCTGGTGATTTTACTATGTTTGCCATATTCCAGTATCCAGTAATTTCAGATTTCTACTTTTTAAATCATCAACTAGATTGGAAAGTTGTAAGCTCTCATAGATGCAAAAATACTCTAGAAATATTATCAGCATACAGAAGAAACCTGAATTCAGAAAAAGAGCTTCTTTTACAGGACTTCTTTGCAAGTCTGGAGAGGAGAAGTGATATGTAGGGTCTTCATTCACTTACGGGAATAATGTCCAAAGGAAGGGTGGGACAGGCAGTGAATTCCTCTACCAGTACAGCCTCACTGACCATGCTAGCCAGTCTAAAAATGTAACTTCCCAAGCATTGCTAGTCTTCTTATGCGTAACAGCAAGAAGGTGACAAAGCAGCTCTTAGAAGTAAATGTCAGATTGAAAGAACAGGGAAAAATCTGGCTCAGCCTAATTAATTCCTTAATATGGGGATGGTATGAATGTCCCTTAAACTGAAGAAATAGAACAGAAATGGATAAGCATGCAGTGGTTTCCCAAAGATATAATGGGAAAATTGAATTTATGAAAAGACAACAAGGGAAATATACCTTATTTAGATACAGTGGTGCCTCGCATAGCGAGGTTAATCCGTTCCGGATTAACCTTCGCTACAGCGAAACATTGCTGAACGGGACAGGGAAAGCCATTGGAACGCATTAAACATCGTTTAATGCGTTCCAAAAGGCTCCTTTACTCACCGTTCAGCGAGGTTTCCTATGGCCGGCAGCCTTTTTCGTGCCCTCGTTAAGCAAGGGGAGGGCGCGAAAACGCTGCGCGCGGCCATTCCGGAGCTTCGGGCGGCCATTTTGTCCGCCGAACAGCTGATCGTCGGGGCTTCGTTTTGCGAAGATCGGTAAGCGAAATGCTTACCAATCTTCATAAAGTGATTTTCGCCCTATCTAAACGACATTGAGCGATCACATTAGCGATCCAAAAAAATGGATCGCTATGCGATTTCGTCGTTATACGGTGCGCTCGTTAAGCGAGGCACCACTGTATTTGTATACTTATGCTTTCAAAACTTAAAACCAACATGGACAAGTTAGAATGTCTGCTACTCAGCAGAAAAGGTAAGTGGAAAAAATAGTAAGCAGCCATGTCCATCCACTGGGGGAAAAATCCTAAACCAACAGTCATATATGGACCATTATTTGGACTAACATAAAATAGGTATTTATCAATATAGCACACTTATTAGAAACTTGGGGGAATGGCAAGGACCCACTAAAACGTACTCATTCTGGGACATAATATCTATGGAAAGTACTGACAGAAAATATTTTAATGACGTTCACAACTCATTGTTTTCAACTTTAAACATTAATTTATTTCAGTGTTGTAAGCAGCTTGGGGTTCTTTTCAAGGAGAAAAGCAAAGTAAAAATATTTTAAATAAATAAAAATAAATGAGATGCAAACATGTCCTGGAGAAAGTCATATTGCCTTAAATATGAGGGAAAGTGCCTTCATTTAAAAACTTTTGCCCAAATGACATGAAGAATTAGGATACAAGCACAAACTGGCAAAAGAAATGTACGTTGAGAAATTAAAGGCATCTCAGGAACAAATAGGTGAACAGTACAAAAATATACACAACCAGGAGCAGAGAATCAAGAGTACCTTGCCTGCAAGGACAAGCAGAAAAGTCTGGGGCTTCTAACAGAGGGCATGGTAGAGGCTTATACAAATATGAATGGTATGGAAAGAATGGCTCAGCTTTTCTCTCTCCTAAGACTACAAATGAGGGTCTCCAGATGAAATTGATTTGCCTGTTTTAAACTAACAGACCAAGATATTATACTAGACAAAATATTATCGATTTACAAATTCAAATTGCTACAAGGCATGATGACAGACACAATGTTAGTGGACTTTAAAAAGGAGTCAGATTTCTCAGAGATCAACTTTGAGCTATTATATCCTCTTTTTCAGAGGTATTTCAGCTACAGTCTAAAATATGAGCCCTTTTGGGTCCCTTGTTGGGAGAAATGCGGCATATAAATAAAACTGATAAATAAATAATAAATAAATAAATACAGTCACTAAAATGATCCTCTGTACCTCTGAATGCCAGATGACAGGACTAGAGAAGAGGGGGAAATTGCTGTCCTTATACCCTAGTTGTGGACGTCCTAAGAAGATGTTCAACTATATTCTGGCAGCTTCTTGCAAAGCAATGCATGAAATCACAATCAGGAAGACAGAATTGGCAGTCAAGAAGGCCATGCTATTTTTCACTAAAGGAATACTGTACTGGCCACAATTCTATTGTGCAACTTAAAACCACACAACTGTGATAACTTCACAGAGGTGGGGCTGATGGTAGTGATTTTCAGGCCATGCTGCATTCCCTCTCATGTTCTACAGCTCTCAAAGAATTCCACAGGACAAAAGGGATCCCTAGACGTGTTTGTAGTGATGGGGTGGGACAGAAAACTTATAATGTCCCCACAAATTGCTGTGGCTGATGATGTCATCATAATCGCACAATGTAAAGTTGTTCAATAAGATTCTGGCCACTATCTCAAGAGAGATTTGGGTCAAAAAGAGCTTTAACTATACCAGAAGAGGAAGGTTTCTCTACAGATCTGATCTATTGGACTTGCACCAACAGCAGACATCTGAAGGGTAATTTCAACAGAATAACCATTTTTACTCACTCAACACTGTTGTCCATGTAGGGAAGAGGCATCAGCTCAGAGTTTGCATTTTTTCCTGAAGAGTTCTAGACAGAGAAAATGTGAATATTCAGTGGGAACTCATTTACTGAAATTAACAAGATCTTACTTGTGTGTGGACTAGTGTTGTTAAATTTCTCTGGGAGTTATATACTGGGGCAGGTATCTCAATTAGAGATGGGGGTATCTGTATTCGTATATGAATACCCCCGCACAGCTGGAGTTAATGAGAGCCTGGCCCCCTGGGGTCGGACTGTCCACTCATGCATCTGCTGCCGGCGGCCCTACTCTTCCTTCCAATCACTCCGCAGTGCCCAGTTGGTTAGCCACTCATCAGCCTTGCAGGGAAACTCATCTTCCCTCCTTCTGCCAGGAGTGGCTAGCCGACCGGGCACTCCAGAGAGACTGGAAGGAAGAACGGAGCTGGCAGATGCATGACTGGACGGCTCACTACATCCAGCTGTATACGAATAAAAATACCCCCATCTCTAATTCCAATATATTTTCTGACTGTTATACATGGATAAAATACACAGTTGTCTTGTATAGAGTGAGCTAAAAGGAAATATAAAAGTTTTTCATTATTTCTCTGAGAAAACTGCTAGACAAGATATTCTGCACACAAAACATGTTCATAAACCTTTATTAAATGTTCATTTATGGCCACTTAAAGAATTAATGATTGAAAAGAATTACGAAAAGAACCAACAATTGTTTTTAAAAAATTATCCTTGGGCTACATACCGTGTTTTCCATATATAAGACACCCCCATGTACAGTGGTGCCTCGCACAACGATGTTAATTGGTTCCAAAAATTCATCGCTGTGTGAAACCATCGTTCTGCGAAACACCATTTCCCATAGGAATGCATTGAAAACCGGTTAATCCGTTCCAATTGGAACGGATTGCCGTCCTTAAGCGAAAATCGCCATAGGAAACATCGTTGAGTGAAACCGGGTTCCCCAATTGAAATGCATTGAAGCCGACTCAATGCATTTCAATGTCTTAGCAAAGTCCTTTTTCGCTCCTGTAAGTGTCTTACAATGTTTGGAACATGTTTTAAATGCTTGCAATCGTTAGCCCACCTCCTGAACCCTATACAAACCTAATTTGGTGTTGTTCTGAGTCGTCGTTAATTTTTGGTGATTTTTTGTTTTTTCTCTCATTGAAATGCATTGGACGGAC